TAGATGCCAGAGAATCACCTTTAACAAAAGAATAACCACCAGTAGTAGATTTCTTACTCCCATGTGCTACAATCAATTCCATAGGTTGATCCTTCCAATTTTATAGGAATAATATCTTCTCTATTGGAGGCCATTTCAGCAAGAAAACAACAGTTCAGACACAAAGATATCAGAGACAACCAAATTCAGTAATCAAGAACTCAAGATGACAATCCAAAAAAGGCAAGTTTTAAGACTGTCAAGTCTAAAACCCTTCAAATATGAATCTAAAGTCTGAATCAAATAAATGGGAAGCAAGAAAACCCTAGGACGACACCAGATCTAGGGTTATAGATTGATCGAGTTAGCCAATTGACAGAAAACTGTGATTTACCAACACATCAGGCGTCTTTTTCAAAAATAAGGAGATATCTTGTGCTGATCGAAAGAGTCCCTAGAAACCTCCAAACCAGAAACTGAGTGTAGGATTAAGAAGAGCTTGAGAGAACCCTTCAATCTGGAGAGAAAATTTCAAATCGCAAGCTGATGTAGAAGGTCTGAAGTCCAAAAAAGAGTTACAATCCAAAAAGGGAAATTGTACAGTGTTACAGCCCCAAGAAGAAGATCAAAACTCCTTCAAAAACTTCACCAAATCAGATGTTGTTTGTAGGTAGAATAGATTAGGTCTAGGCGAAACCAGATCTGAAGTCCAAAGCCGTTGCAGTCCAAAAAAGGAAACTATACAGTGTTGCCGCCCCAAGAAGAAGATCAAAACTCCTTCGAAAACTTCACCAAATCAGATGTTGTTTGTAGGAAGAGTATATCAGGTCTAGATGACACCAAATCTGAAGTTTGGCCTCGAACCAATCTCACAAGAGAGATCTAACGAAATCTCTCCTGCTGGTTGTGCAAAGAAGACTGAACAAAAAAGGGTTGATCAAAACAGCTATAATATGACAAGATTACTGCTACTAGTGAGTTTCACGAGAGAGAAAATAGATCAGAGAGCAACCTGCTCTGATACCATGTCAACACTCTTATCTGAATAGAGAGAAGAACATGAATAATCTTAGAGGTGTCAAGAATGAATGACTCCCACCTCAAAGACTCTCTTATATATTAAAAGATATGTACAATTACAAGAATGCCCATATAGGGCTGAAAGAGAAAAGAAGAATAAGAAGTATAAGTAATGTACAACAAGGACTATACTAATAAGATACATCAAGTTATAGAGTCTCCACATTTGGTATGACACTTCAACCTTGAGTTTTATATTGTTAATTACTACAATTCAGGACACTTAAGGAAAAAAACATATTATGATGCAAATTGGTGTAGTGCATTAAAATCTTAACAAGGTTCAGAACACATTAGAAAATTTGTCTAGATTCTAGAGAGAACATTGTTCATCATAAAACTCAAGGTTAAGATTTTTGCTACTTGCGGGCAATGATGCCATTGGCTTCTAAAATTGAAATGAGAAAAAACGTTAGTGTATAAATAGGACACCTGTTTATCCAATGTTGTCATGCAATAAATTAAATTGTCAACACTTGTTTTTAGCAACCCTTTGAGCCTAACCTTATCCCAAAGCCCCAAACCTAACCCCTTGAAAGTTACTTGAAGACCCCCTACAACCCTCTTCTTGGAAACCGAACCTCTAAATATCTCCATTAAAGCCCAAGTACCCTAAAAATTCCATCTGTCAAATCTTGTCCCAAAAATCACTTGTTTAACCCTTGATCAAACCAAGATTCCATTCCAACCTTTGCCATTATCCAAGGACAAGTAAAAAAACCTCTAAAACCCAACCATAGATCTACAGCTTCACTTGCCAACCGCGAGGTCCACCACGAGAACCCAACAATACAACCTTTCTCACCAAACCCATTCACAACTTCTCCCACGAAAATCATCATGGCCTTGCCTACTAAGTCCATTCACAACCTTGCTCACAAACCCATCTATGGCCTCACTCGCTACCCACATCCATGCCCACCTCACAACTGCACCTTGCTCGCTACCCATCTACACCCACCTTGCAACCATGCCCCTCACACCTTGTTGTGGCCTCACCCATCACAACTTTGTCCACCTTGCAAAGCCCCTCGCACCTTGACACGGCCTCGCTACAATCACACCTCTTGCACCTTGCCACGGTCTTGCCCCTCACAACCTTGTCATCGCCTCACCCACCTCGCAACTATGCCTCTCACACCTTGTCGAGGCCTCACCCCTCAACTTCAACCTTAGCCCCTCTTCACTCTTCACAAGCTCATCAAGCTTAGTCTCTCCTTGTTCTTCGCCCAACCTCACCTAGTTCCTCGCTCAAATCGACCTCCCTACCTCTCCTCCTCACTCCATCTTGCCCCTTAGCTTGGTTTTATTCCTTGCAGCTTTGCTCTAGTCCACGTTTTCACAGACACCTGGCATTGTCCTAACCTTTTGATCGATTGTTCTCCTCAAACCTTAAGGTTAAACTTGACACCTAGGGGTGAGCAAGAAAAACTGAAAAACCGACCAAAATCAAACCAAAAATCTGGTTAACCGAACCAATTGGTTTGGTATTTTTAAAAAACCTAAGGGCTAAGGTACCAGTTCGGATTCAGTTAACCAATATAAAAAACCGACGGTTAACCGAACCAACTGGTATACATATATTTCTATATATTTAATATATTTATGTATATTATATATATTTTATATTTTATATATATTATAAATTAATAAATATGCATTATATATAAATATATATATATATATATTTATAATAATATATTTTTGATTATTAATATAATATTTTATATATATATTTCTATTTTTAATTATATATTTATATGCTTTTTATAATATATATTATAAATATAAAAAACCGAAAAATCGACGAACTGAACCAATGGTTAACCGAACCGGTCAATCGGTTAACCAATCAGCTTCGAGTTTTAGTTACTGGTTTCAGAAACCAGTAGGACTGGTTTGGTTTCAAAAATAGGCCCACGGTTCGGTTAATCGAACTGTGAGCACCCCTATTAGCACTTGCCCCAGATTTAGAATCCTAGGAGATTTCCCCTTGAAAATGAAGAATCTTCCCCTACAAGATTCCTAAGCTCGCCTTCACTTCCAAAACTAGCCTCGTTCCACATACCTAGATTCTTTTACCCTTAGATTTTCCCTAAAATCCCCATAGTTGACCCCTCCACTTCAGCTATAAATAGAAGGGGGGGGGGAATCCCTAGGGGATCGAAATAACCATCAAGAGAAAACCCCCCAACCAAAGAACCCACCAAAGACCTTTCCCATTCTCCTTCATCTCCCTCCTCTGCCATTCTAAGTTTGAAACTCTCTAGGTCATACAGCCATCAAATACCTCCTTGGACTTTTATTCTTTTACCGAATCTCTCCATATTCACTGAAGGATTCCCCTTTAATCAAAGGTAACATTTGGAGCTCCTCAACTCCCTCTTTCTTCTTTCTAGTAAGGTTTTTGCTTTCAAAACATTATGATTGCTTAGGGTAGGAATGTAGGGCTTACATTTAGCTCTACACCCCTTGCCCACTCTGTAAGATTTAGTTCCAAAGGAGGTGGAAAAGGGGAGACCCGAGAACCACCACCCTACTAGATTCTAAACTAATAATGGGGCAAGGTTGCAGCACACACTTCCCCAATGGTATGAACGGGTTCTGAGGTCTCTTCGACTATTCTTGCTAACTGGCTTCTTTTCCTTTCTTCCCCCAATTCTTTGTTTTGTGTGCTTTGTGCAAGAGTTAGTTATAGGGGGTTCATAGTGAATGTCACTATTGAATCAATTTCTTATCTTCAATATGGGGACCCATCACCACTAATATGGTGAGTGGCGACTAGTGGGCATTTTCTCGATGTTCAAACAAATAAATAGGAGATACAAAGTTCGAAGGTTCTAGCTGCAGCTATGCTCATTTCTAAAGGTTGCTACCTAGCTCTATAGTTAGTTCATTTCTTTATATGGATTTTCTAGAATGAATTACAACAAGCTTTCATTTAAGAATCATCTATATGTTTCCTTTTATTTCCTCAACTTCTAACACTTGTTTTTTCTTAAAAAAATCTCTTTTAAAGGATAAAACTTCTTTGTCAAATTATATTTTGTTGTATTTTCTTCCAAGAATATTTTTTCAACAGTTACAGTGATGCATTACTACTTCAGAGACCAGATCTAAAGTAGCTTGTACATAATGCTTCTTAGACATCAAATAAAGCATAAGTATGAAACCAATTTCTTGTTATTTCAACTAATAATTGAACCTGGATTCTATTCTTCCTACACATAACTTTATAGCACCAAGTATTTAGCAATTTCTTTCAAAAGAACAGGTATGCATCATATCATTTCTTATGATTCCTAGATATGGGTACTAATATGAACAAAGGAACAGGATGGTGATATGACTCCCCATTTCCTAAAATCTCGGACACAGATATGAGTATGGGTATATTATGAAATATGTTTATATCATGCCTCTGCATCAAGATTTTCAAGCTAAATGCCATTTCTCAAGACTTATGTTTGCTTGCCAAAATCAATTAAATTTCTAAAATGTACAGATCTTACATTGTATGATTTGTTAAAACATACCATTTTACATATTTTGAAAATGTTAATAGTATAGAAAACATCTAGAAGTGTCCATGCAGTATCTTAAGTCAGTATGCTAGGTATGTAGAGGTGAGACCAGATCTGCTACCCACCACAATACACTACTAACACCTACCCACAAGACAGTACAGCACACATCTCAAACTTGTATGTTGTCATTGATGGGGTCGTATGTGAGATGTGCGGTTGTAGTGTCCTGTGGGTAGCAGATCCATACTTTGTACAGGTATCTGGGTTCTTTTTCTCTTATTTTCTTTCTTTCCCTTTATTATTATTATTTTGTTTGTTTTTGGGTACAAATATCATTTTCATAGTTCAACCACAATAAAAATACCATGTACCACAAATACTTCACCATAAGACGTGCATAATTTAATGTCTTACCACCCCAACTATTAAAATTCCAATCAATTCCAGCAACCTTCTGCTCTGAATATCCAGATGACGACGTGCTGTCACATATGACAAACTGTTGGAAAAACTTGTCACTCTAGGGAATGTACAGAATATTAACCTAGAAAGCATTGGTAAAACAATTGCAGTTTTAATTAAAGCACTGAGAAGCTTACAGTTGATCCAGTATCACGGAACCAAGAGTCATTCATACTCATCTCTATGACCCTTATATTTTGAGGCAACATAGTGCGTGCATTAACCCACTTGAGCATGTAAAAAAGTTCCAAAGAAGAAAAGTCAAACTCAATGGATAAAAGTATCAAAGGCTACTCATCTAAAGAAACTTTTGCATCAATTAAAACATTTGCTCACCTGAGCAGCACTTGCACACACAGTAACGGACTCAAATTTTGAGATGGCGCATGCGACCTCGGCAAAGACACGTTGAGCATGCAACGCACCATCCCGCCAATTATCTGGACGCTCCTGTAATGAAAACGTTGCTTGATCAAAATAATGAACCAGGGACATACTAAGGCATTCTTGAACAAGTAAACAAAGTCGAGGAAATAGATCATCAATGGTGAACGGACAAAAAGATACTTTACACATTGTCTAAGGAAGGACGTTTTTAGAGTTTTGAAGTTTACCAGAGAGGTGCCTAGGACCTCAGGGAAGGAGAATAAGGACTTGGGTATTGAGGCAGAACCATACCGCAATTAACAGAAACAGGACAATTGACACTTGGCACTTGACAGGAAAAGAGAGAAACTGTTCATTTTTACTAGGGTTAGTGCCTGCCATTTTAAAGTGTCGGTTTACAACGCTAATCCAAAACTAGTTAAAACGAAGATAAAAGCCTGAATACATGATAATTTTCTCAGCCGGTGCGTAAGTCACGAGTCCTTCGAACACCTGATGACCTGAAATTTAATTTTCTTGTTGAACGTGATAGCATGTATGACACATAACAGTCCATGGAAAGCCCTATACAATTGTAGGGACGAAGTAATAAAAGGTCCAGGCTTTTAATCCTTTAATATATATCCAAGGAACCATCGATGGTACTGATGAAAGCTATTAAAGCACAGAGCATCTAAAGTCAAGTTCCGTTACTTGAACATGACAGACTAACCGTAAGACTCCATAAAATTTCCCAGAGGAGAAAGAATCACCATCCACCACTATAAAAAAACCATCACATAAATCTCATAATCAAATCACGATATGCTACGGAAATTGCGAAAACAGAAAAGCGTAAATTGTCATGAAATTGGCAACGAAAACCCGAGCCCGAGGTTCAAACATTCCCAAATCGAGCATATGGAATTTCGAAAAAGTGAAAAGGGGTAATACACTCACAGGCCAACCCATCCAACACTGTGAATGGGGTTCCCACTCTGCAGGCATGCGGTAGCCGAGGAGAGCTGGTTTCCCATTGATATCCATCATCATTTCCCTGCACTCAATAATACTCTGCTTTGTTATTGTATGTAAGTTTGCAACCTTACATTACATATAGTGGCACTACCGCACTACAACTAATGCGGTACAACCGCAGGCGCAGAGATTATGAACACGATCTTATTAGAGTCAAGGACAACAGACAAAGGTCAAAGGGGGTCTCGTGGAGAAAACTTTTGACGACGGAGCCACGACGTTCAGACTCAGTGGGCCTGGGCCACCAGACTCAATTGCAGCATTGGCCTACAACTGACCCAATTGTCATTTTCCGATCTTGGCCGGCCTACCACCCAGGCACGCCTGACCTGGACACGGCCGGACCTACAATTTTGTCAATATATAATTTATAACGCAAAATTTTTTACTTATCATGTTATTATATTAAATATTATAAATATACCGTATTTTGATATGGGCCCAAAAGCACTCCTGGGTAGGCTGGGCTCGGCCTGGCCCATGATACCCCTCAATTTGATGAGGGGTTTCCTTTGTTTGTGTTGCCGGAGGCAGGGGTGTCAATTGAAACGGGTTTGGTCCAATCTGAATGTGAGTCCATTACAAATGGACCAGGTTCAATTCAATGAATATTTTAAACCGATCTAATTTAATGTTTGAATCATCCAATCTGTTCAAATTTGTTTTAATTTATATTGGTTTCAATCCAAACCCAGTCCATTAACACTTATATTCTTATCTTATATCAATGGATCAGATATTATATTGGCTTCATCCAATCCAACCCAATATAATTTTTTTATGGATAGATCAGGTCCAATCCAATCTAATAAATATTTTGAATTGGATTGGTCTAATCCAATATGTCTTGTTGGTTCCATCCAAATTAATTTTGGATTGGATCCGTCCAATCCAAAACCAGTCCATTGACACCCTTAGCCGAAGGCCTTAACCCTAAACCAATCCGAAGTCAAACCAGGTACATATTTTTTAACCCTAATTCAACATATTCTCAACCAAACTCAAATTGCACCCCTACCTTGGTGAAAATCAACCTCTACTTTTATGTGGGATATTCATTAAAGAGTTTCTAGACCTTTCGTAGCTACCATGTGATCAATTTTCAATTGGGTCGTGCATCTTCATTGGTCTACAACAGTCTGGTTGAAAGTTTTGATCCTTGAGGCTGTTTTGGTTTGAAAGAAAAGTTAAAGGAAACCTGGTAAAAACCAAACATAGCCTAAGAGTATGACTGATATGATGCTTTCAACCTTTAGTATCATCAGGGATCATATCACCTATTTTTATTTTTATAAATAGAGAGAAAAGTTCCAATACAAATGGCCAGAATTCGAATTTGCTCCTCAAAGAATGCTCCTCATACCATCCTCACAGCATTAATACAGTTATACAATTAAGAATATCTCCCTTACTTGTATGTTGCTATTCATGGGGAGATTATCCTAATGCATGCATGACTGCAACCTTCCGTGAGGATAGTGTGAAGAGCGCTATGTGAGAAGTAAATTCGAATTCCAATGATTAAGTGGACTCTCAAGTGAGTTCACCTCTCCGCCCCACAATGCCTCACAGCATATTTCATCATCGGGAGATGCTCTCAATACATGGCGGGAATTGAATGTACTGTGGGGCGGAGATGTGATCTCCTCTCGAATATAAAGAAAGAAACAGAAAGTAGAGGAAAAGTTATCAAGAAGTTTCTAACAATTAGGTTGCAGTTGAATAGAATTTAGATTTGAGCTTTTAAAGATCATATTGGACCTTAGAAGTATTTTGGCTTTATCCAAAATTATTCAAAGAAACTTCCACTTGATAAATTGGTTTGAGGTTCGAAAGGAATCCCCCACATAAAATATTTTTATGAATAGGTTTTAACTTAAAAACAAAATGAAAAATTAAAGAGCAGAAAGTTCCAATTACATGTTGAGGGTAGGGCTGTATATATGGGTTGCAGGCACATGGCCAACCTATAGCCCGGATTTCCTATTATATTAGTCAAAAAACATAATCAAGTTGGAGTTGGTATGCTAGTTGGGTTGTTTGGTGAGCCTCCACAAATGACTAACTCCAACTTTTGTCTGCAGCTAAAATGAATCTTTACATTCCTTTCCTCATGTATTGGGAACATCTCTCCGTGCATAATATTATGTAGGAGGATGAGATGTTTTCTATATGTGGCTGCGATGTTATATGAGTAGACGCAGACAAGGTTCTTGTGGGTAGGAGATCCGGACTCGTACGTCTAATCTATACCTTCAAATATTTTATTACATGATAAATTTTTCCACCGAAAATAAAGCAATAAGTCAGTTCAGCTACTTTAGCCATTATCAAATGGGCTCTAGTCATTAAGTAGCTAGGAAAGCTTAGTAAATGGATGGACCCACTAATCTCTGTCTCGTGATGTTATCCCAAATCTAAACTATCTGTCAGATAGCAGTGAATTTGCACTTTATTGCATTTTAGAGCTGGTGCTTTAGTAATTAGGTGGGTTAAGTAACTTTCCCACTTAGTGGATTTTTATGGTTAAAAATGAAAATAAAAGAATATGAGTAAATGAAAATGTCTTACTATGAACCACTTATCTGGATAAATACATTTACTTAAGTAAATAATTAATTACCAAAAAGCAAACAGGGCCTTAATTATTCTACTATTATATTGTAAACAACTAAACATTTTACAAGTTATTTTACTATCATTTCAGAAATTAATCATGTATCACAGACACAATCAAACAATTTCTTATTGGTTTACAATAAAATAATTTCTTATTGGGAATAATTAGAATCAGTGAAAATTAAAACAATCAATTTATGAGTTTGGACTAGGACTAGTAATACGTAATGCCCTTTCTAGTTGTTGTCCATCCAAAACTGAGCTTGAAGATTATCAATAAGCTTGGTGTCAACTCGGAATGCCCTGGCGAGAACATCATCCCTGATGGGGGGCTTTGATCCAAACACAGCATTAGCAATGGTGATAACACCAGGGTTCTGACTACTCAGGCCAGCTAGAGCCACAGCATTGGTTTCTCCGGTATTGAACTGAAAGTGAATGAGGCCGACGGGGAACACAAACACATCTCCCTTGTTAAGGGTTTTGGTGATTAAGCGGTTGTCAGGGTTGGAGGTGGCAAAGCCGACGTAGAGAGTTCCCTCCAACACCACCAGGATCTCGGTGGCGCGTGGGTGCGTGTGGGGAGGATTGAGACCATAGGGAGCAAAGTCAATGCGAGCCAAGGAGATTCCAAGAGTATTCAGCCCAGGAATTTGCTCTACGTTCACTGCAGTTACTTTGGAGCCCACTGGGTTGGATGTGTTTCCAGGCTTGTGAAGACCAGAAAAGAAGAAATCTTTTGCTTTTGCAAGTTTTGGGTTTTTGCAGAACTTCCCATTTACCAACACTACAAAAAAAAAATGTTATTTGATTTAGCAAAATTCAGTCCACAATCAACCAGATATATACTACTTAAGCAGTGAATATCATTAAATTTAAAACAGAAGGATATTATCAAGAAATATTAAATACTATGAAGCTAGAAGCTAGGCCTTTCATAGGTTTGCAAAACTAAGTTCTATGTCGTGAACTGTAAGGTCTGATGATGTTGACGTTGATCAGGTTCAGTATAAGAAATTAAATGCGTAGTCATTGGTAAAATTTAAGAAGCAACTTAGATATAATTAGAAACATTAATCTTGTTTAGAGTGCAGAATTGAAAAGTGGAGAGAACAAGTACCTGCGGCCTTGGGATCCTTAATGGCAACACAGAAGTCTTGGAGGGGACTTGGATCAGAAGCGAAAGCCAGGGAGGAAGCTAAGGCCAATAGGATAGAAACAGCAAGAACTTGAGCTGCAGCCATGACGATTCTTTCACTAAAATTGCTTTTGAGTTTTGATAGAAGATAGGATATTAAGATCTAGTATCTCTGGTCGATGCTTCAAGGGTGAGAACTCTAGCATAGCGACCGTTTCATTTATAGGTAGAATTTGTTGAAATGGTCTAGTATGTTATGACCCAACTGAGAAATATAAAATTATGAAACATCTGTTGTATATTTGAATTAATTACCGATTCTCCAAACAATGCAACTCTCCCATTTGCTTGGTCTACTTTTGCTTTCCAAGGTGGACGTAGTCAGATCATTTTATATATATGAAACATTGAAAGCAATTATCTGGGGTTTGATCAAGTCTGATCAGATCAATATGGAACATGTTCTACCCTCCGGAGATTAGGCCAAGGAAATTAAAAAAAAAAATTAATTAAACTTCATTCAATTCTTATCCTTCAGAATAATGGATTATCGTTTGTAGGAAAGGAAGGAATAATTAATGTTTCAGAATTTAGACATACGTGATATCATCGTTAGACCATGTCCCCAGAAAAATAGCTTAGTCCAATATCCTCTCCAATAATGCACTAATTCAACCCCTGGCGGTGTCTTAGTATTAATGTTTCAAATGTTTATTTAACGAGAAGAGACGTGTTCTGAGATCAGGAAATGGTCTTCAAGGTTGACAGACTGATTCAACAATGGTGCTAATTAACTGTCCCTAGAATTCGAAAGAGGCACAACATCCTCTGTCAAAAGGAAAAATAACGATTACTGACTTAGAAGAAATGAGTTGTTGACAAATTAATCAGCGGTTTTGATTACCCCGTTCAAGGGCGTATTCCCTCCAAGTTATTACCAAATAAATACATATTCTTTCACTTAAAACAAGTGACTCAAATATGCCTTTAGGCTACGTTTGGTTGCAGTGAGAATTTCATTTGTGCTAGCGTAAATGCATAGGAGTACAAATGGATGGCTGAGTGTAAATCCTGGTTTGCTTTTGCTTCTTCATATTTGACTTTGTTTTGTTTGTTGAAGTAAAAGGATGCGTAATGAAGCCAAAGCAAGGTTATATTTGGGGAGCGGAAGGTAGGGAAGCAAATTGATTTCCCCACTTCATACCAGAGAGAATTAAGGTAGGAGGAAGTGGTGCCAATCTTGCATCGCTTTTTTCATATGTAAAATTTGCACTACTAATATGGATGCAAGCAAGACAAAAAAGTGCAAATCATAGCAGATGGATGCAAAATTTGTATCCGATTCAGATTTGCATACCCCTTGATAGTAGGAAGGTTGCATTGTTTAATGAGATAAGATTTTTAACTTAATATTATATTGCTAGGGATCTGCCTACCGCGTCTCCTCCACCCGGCCCTTCCCGTGAATCTCTGAAGTTTGATCCATTGGACTTGGATCTCAACTATATCATATCACCAGCCCTGACCCCATGAATGAATCATGGTGGTTCAGGAAGACATTAACTTGACTCTATTAGGTGGTTAAATATTCCACATGTTGAATTCATTTAACCCCGCCCAGACTCAAGAGTCAACCTCAAAACCATTAGAATACACGAAACAGAACACTTGATGGGAGTGAGTCTGTGCAGACAGAGCCAGCTGATTAATACAACTCCTCTTCATCCTTAGTGTTAATTTCTTCCAACTTAGAGCTAGATCGAGTAATCTACATTTTAACCTCCTAATATAAAAATTGTCATATAGAAGGGCGATGTAGCAAACTGGCAATTCCAAACCATTCAGCTAACGTATGGTATAGTCCAGACTGGGCAATTCCAAACCACATGTAAACCAAAACGAATCCTGAAGAAAACATGAACAGTGCTGCCATAAGAGTCCTCCCTCAAATCATGGACAGCTTAGATGACAAAGTTGTTGTTAGTTGGTCAAGTTTTCATGGTTTTCTTTGCTGGAGAGCTGAGATGAACCCTAATTTTCAAGCTCCTGTGAGTTTGCTCCATAGGTAAGTTTTTTGCTTGTAAAGGAGTATGTAGGACAGAAAAGAAATGGCCTAAATTTTATATGTATGTAACTATGTATTATAGATGAATAACAATGGTCTACAAGCCTAGAGCACAAACATAGCAGGTGGACCGTTCCACCAATGACTCCCACTCAAGTCTCCATGGATTGGATAATTTGAAGTTGACCTATGTCCTATATATGTGTATTCTCATGCAACTTTTCCAAAGAAGGAAGAAGAAAAGAAAAGAACTAATAATTAAAAGAAAAAAAAGTATGAAAAAATACGGACAGGCCCATTGCAGATTTCTGAATTACACTGCATACCTATAAAAATTCAATTCCAGTTTTGGGCCGCCCAAAAGTCCAGACTAGCCCGTTGGGTCACAGACAAGATATATGATGCATGCATGTCTCTCGATCGGTACTGTCTTTTTTACGTAAAGAAGCATGGGAAGTGACCAACCAATGAAACCGAGTACAGCTAACGTAGCTGTTTACGTTCACAGAGAAATAAACATGGTGTCTCGTACACCAACCAAATCAATATTAGTTCATCCTCTCTTGACTTCTACAAGCTTCTAGTCTACCTTATAAAACAGCAACTAGTCTAATCCAACCTGGCCTCCCAATAATCTCTACTTCTGGATTCACAGAAACGCGGAAGAGAGAGAGAGAGAGAGAGAGAGCTATGGCACTTTCTCAGTATGCAAAACCTCCAACTCCATTCCTGCAACATTCAGCCTTTATCTTCTTCTCCATCTTAAGCGTCTATGCTATTAATTTGCATGCGACAGACCCTCCTTTAACACTGGATTATTATTCATCTACGTGCCCGAATGTGCTGGAGATTGTAAGGAAAGAGATGGAATGTGCAGTGCTGTCTGATCCACGCAATGCAGCGTCCATACTCCGCCTCCATTTTCATGACTGCTTTGTCCAGGTTAGTACGTATTCTATGCCTATGGCTGGCCGGTGGGTTCCCCTTCATCTGTTTCCTCATTATGTTCACTCTAGCCCTGTGACTTATCTTTTTAATTAGTTGAGATTTTCAGACGTACTGTTAACAAAATCTCTGTGTGACACAGGGATGTGACGGGTCAGTTTTGCTTGATGACACAATCACCCTCAGAGGAGAGAAGAAAGCACCCACTAATATCCGCTCCCTGAGAGGTTTCAGGATCATTGACGGGATCAAGAACAAGCTCGAATCTGAGTGCCCCGGAATCGTATCCTGTGCAGATATGCTCACCATTGCAGCAAGGGATGCAGTCATTCTGGTAAAACTAAGGACTACTACGTAGCAGTGTACCACTAATGTTTGTCTTAGGTCCAGATGCTGATGTCTTACTACATATATAGAAATCAAGGATTAATTAATTGTTGCACTGCTCTTTTAGGTGGGCGGGCCTTACTGGCATGTTCCTCTGGGTAGAAAGGATTCCAGGACTGCAAGCTTCAGCCTAGCAACCACGAATCTGCCTACTCCTGATCAGGGTCTTCTCACTCTCATATCAAAGTTCCTTTATCAAGGTCTCTCAGTCACAGATATGGTAGCTCTTGCAGGTATATATGTATCTCTTTACAGCCCGAGGGTATATTTTTATATAATTTACAAGCTAGGAATTAAAATGGGCTAATAATAAATTAATGGTGGTCGTGGAATATAATTGCAGGTGCACACACCATTGGCATGGCCCGCTGCGTGAACTTCCGAGAGAGGATTTATGGAGACTTCCAGGAAACTGCACACAAGAATCCGCTCACAGAGATATATCTCAGCAACCTGAAATCTGGTTGCCCACCCATTGGAGGAGATGACAATACGACTGCGATGGATTATTTCTCACCCAACCTTTTCGACAATTCTTTCTATCAGATACTGCTGCGAGGGGAGGGACTACTGAACTCGGACCAGGAGATGTACTCCAGCAAGCTGGCACTTGAGACCAAGGAGCTTGTTAAGAAATATGCCTTCGACCCAATTGCTTTCTTCCAGCAGTTCTCAGATTCTATGGTGAAGATGGGAAATATCACCGATCCTGACAGCTTCGTTACAGGGGAAGTAAGGAAAAATTGCAGATTTATTAACACATAAGCTCGATCCAACTTGTAGTTTTGCCTAAATAAATAAATAAATAAGAAGCTTTTGTTATAAAGAAGAGCATTTCATGTACTACCGAAGCCATTATTGATCATTATTCTATTCACTGTTTCAGATGGGGAGAAGGGATTTATTTCTCCCATGGTATTCAACTCAACTCAATTCGGACATTTCTTAACTAGCCTGAAGCGAAATTGATTAGTTGATCATCCACCTGACTGAATCGCCCCACCCCCACCCCCGTTTTCTAGAAGTTAATAAGAATTAAAGATGAAACTGATCAACCAAAAAACTAATTTCTCGATATTCCAGGGAAAGGTTTTGATTCTTGAACACCCAAACAAATAAAAAAAAAGAATAATTCCTAGATGAAAGGTCGTGTTCGCTCTATCCGGATGACCAACCTACCGAATTTCTACAAAAAATGTATCCATGACCAAGATTGAATGTTCCTGATTATGTTCCTAATCGAGTTGGATATTTTAATCCAACCTAACCAATTGACATTGTTTCATTATGGGTGTAAGTTGACCAGTCTACCCAATCTAAGGCCAAGTTTTTGCTTAAAAAAATCTAAGGTAAGTATGGGCTTATTTGAAAAACAAGTGATTAAGGCTGCATTTGGCATTCTTATTATAAGGACTTATCTTCCTTAGTTAAAATGCCCCTGTGAACACTTAGTTTTTAACAGTAAAAAATAGATAATTCTTTAAAATAAGGAATGTCAAATTCAGCTTTAAGTGGTTGTTCAAAAAATTACTTAATGCTTATTTCTCAAACCACTAAATCATCAAACATAACCTAAAAATAAATGCTTATGAACATTTTGGTGAAAAAAAACAATTGTTTCAAATAGAATAGTATAGATATTTTTAAAATAAAAGGCAGGTCAGAGGGAAAATAAGCACTTAAAAATAAACCCATGCCTATTCTCAAGGATAAGCATTCATTTGGGCTTATTGCTCGAACACAAATCAATAAATAATTATCAGTGTTTCCTGACCTAAAATAAGTGCTTAATTCAAATAAGCGTTTATTTTGAAGCACTCTGAAATTTAGCCTAAATCTCAGTTAGATTGATATTTTTTTTCAGCCAATCATACCAATATACCATACCACCTACCTTGCTGCAAACCTGATTCAAATTCAAATTTGTTAGACGTTAAATTCCATAAATTAAGTCCTATTTTCACACAGCCTCTAATAACCCTATAGTTTATTGCCCATTAATTCTAGGTACGAAAAACTACATGCATTAAGACGATTTGAACGTAGGTGTTTACTATTTATTCTAACCATATGAGTTCTAAATTTTAACCTTGAGACATCTTCTCTTCCTACTTCCTAGTACGTATCCATCAATGAAAAAAAATAAAAAAAAATGATTATTAAAAATTATATTTTTATATGTTAATATGAATGACATTGGTTTCCTGCGGCATGCATGAATATTCTAAAGCTCTAGGAATTAGATTTTAGTGATATTTATTTTGGAGATTTGTTTGTATTTTTTTAACACATCCCATTGCAAATAATAAAATTACCTTTCTAATATACTGCATTTCCAATAATTTGAAATGCAAAATATATTAGAAAGGCAATAAAAAATATCAAAACCTGCTTTGAATACAAGAAAAACTCAAGCACATCCCAAAATACAATAACGTAACACTAAATATGAAATTCAAATTACTATAAATAAGACATATATACACAGCGTCGAACTAGTTAATATTAATCAAAATTCAAGGAGTGTTTTGATTGGTCAAAGATCTTTTGTTATTATATAAATTTTTTCATACACATAAAAAACACATGTTTTGATAGTTTGCCTGCGTTTGTTTCCAGTGCAAAAAACAATTATCTACTATTCAAAATTTATCTAATTTTACACTAATAAATCTTGTAATCCAAGATTGAAATCTTACATCATTTCCAGATGTAATGAATACAAACAAGATTCCGACTGAAATCCACCTTTTTAATATTGACCAACTATGAGTGCAAAGTGTGCATCAATTTTTTAGATACAAACTTTGTTCTCATTTTGAATACAAACACGTCTTGGAAGTTGTGCACTGTCATTATCAGTACACAAAATTATGCTTCCCAAATGCTTGTAAAACTAAACCAAAATACATCTATGTTATAAATCCAGCATTTGCACCACAAACAAATGCAGCATTCACTTAGGGGGCGTTCTTTTTTTCTGGATTTTGAAGAGGGGGAATGTTGATCAATGGGATTTTGATTCCCATTGACCAAGATTCTCATGTTCTTTTTTCAGATTTGTGTGGGGACCAGGGAAAGTTTATTTTCCTGGGTATGATACCCATCTCCTAGGTGGGTAAATAACTTTCCCACCTTGGGAGAAAGTTGTCAATATGGATTTTTATGGCTAAAATGGTCATTGCCTTGTTTGAATGAAAAATAAAAAAACATGAATAAATGTACTTACCCAGGTAAATCTTTCCTGGGAAACACTAAACTGGGTAAATAATGCATTTACCCAGATAAGTAGCTTACTAAAAAACAAACGGGGCCTTGGTGTGAATTAAGAGAGCACACTTGAGAAACTAGTATAATTCTTGTTAATATTCATAAATTAATTAAACAGGCATATATGAAACAAAGTATCTAAGGTTAAAACTTTGAGCCCATGGATTATAACAACCGGCTGAAATGGAACATGTTACAACTTACCAGTTGATGAATAACGTATATGGGTGGAACAGCACGAGTTTCTACCATTCCACCAATGCCACATGCCAATACACTCTTGATATGCAAAAACCGCATATAAGAGTTTCAATACACTTCTTGCTTTCTGGCTCAGCAGTTTGTCTCATTATCTTTTAACATTTAAAACATTCAACAATACGCTCCCAACCAATACTTACACTTTGAACCTTGTCGGTAACCTGAAAACCTGATACACATCAGCAAGACAGCAAATATGGGCCAATATGTATCGATACATTAAACCATTGGCAGAGCCTGACCAACAGGTAGAACATGTACATCAGATTTTTGAAAAAACAGAAAAAACACATTGGCATATGCCGTTTGGTTAGTCATTTTCTTAAAAAACAGAAAAAAAAGTTGTCAATTTCTCAAAAAAAAAAAAAAACAAAACAGCCCATCTCAGAAAAAATGGCAGTGCAATCAAACAGAACCATACATAAACGTTCTCTCAACAATGACAAAGAAACATCAATGCTTTAAAAAAAAAAAACGAAAACCAAACGCCATATTCATCAAATAAAAAAGAAAAACAAAAAGAAAAGATATCTTTAACAAAGTTCTTTTCTTCTCACGGGTCGGCAACCCTCAATAATGCATAGCCATACACCACTTAGAGCACTGATCCCTCTTAATTTTTGCAAGGAATCAGATCAAAACAGAAAATGAATTGCCATTCCACACAAGTTTGAGGTCCTCATACGTCATACCCAATTATCAATAGCGTATTTGACGTTACTGGGCTCATAAGTTGAAACAGCGAAAAATTATATTACACAAAGGCGGAAGAGAATAAATACAAAGATGTAAAATAATAAAGAAAGAACTATTACATATTAGTAAATGTTCATCCGCTAGGGCCATTCTTAGAGGGAACTCATACNATTTTTTTATTCCATTTCATTTTTTAAACAACCAATGAGATGCTCTCCTTCTCCATAAAAATTGTCTAAAATCTCTCTCTCTCTCTCCCCCAAACAGCGGATCCATTGCCCACTTACATTTGTATGCGATGATGCAAACACTACCTGAAAACCCCTTGCTGGTGCAATTCACTCGAATGGCCAGTACTTTACACTCTATACGGATTTCAGAACTAGGTACAAGAAACCTCCTAACTTCTCCATCTACCCATCTTCATTGTCATAATCTTCCTCTTCTTGTGAGCACGGTGTTTGGCTGCAAGTCGTAGCTTTCTCTTGGCGTTGCGTACAGGATTGATTACAGCCATGAGCTTCTCTTCCTGCTTCCTCTTATCCCTCTTTTCCTTGAGGTTCTTTCTGATCTGATTGTAGACATGCACAAAGTTCTCAGCACCTAATGTTCCTCGCATACTCTCTCTCACCTCCTCCGCCAGATGTTTGATACCATCTGGAAAATGGATAATCCAGCCAAAGTGTCAAATTCAACAAAAATTGTTCAAATAAATAGATAACTATCTGATGTATAGACAGACCGTAAATAACCGCAAAGTCAAACATAGCATGCATACAACAGTAGAAAGTTTGATTTTATTAGAACAACTAATTTCAAATTAGTTTTTGGCATAACCAATCAAGTATTGCACCGTTGACAGGCCTGCTTCAGTACATCTTTGTCATTGCAATGTCCTTGGACAATTGGCATACTTTTTTTCTGAAAATAGTGAAAACTTTCCTCAGTCCTCTCTTTAGAAAGATGATCTATGGTCGAGACTTGAAAGAACTAAACGTCAACAAATGTTTTCCCAAGCCACTTGATGCCCAGCGAAAGTTATCATCAGTGATGCATGTAACATTTGAATGTATTCAGTGATGCATGTGTCATGTGGCATCATCAATGACATAGATGTATTATGCGGCAGTATATATGGATGATACCTAGCATTTGAATGTATTCAACAACACATATGTGCCATGCAGCATCATATATGGATGGCACGTGACATTTAAATATACAATGATAAGCATGTGCAAAATTGCATTTGGATACAACATGAGGCAATATATGGATGCCATGTGGCTTTCACATGTGTGCATAATTTTGTTGTATCTAAATGCTATGTTTTACTTAAAAAAGTATGTTTTTGAAAAGTTTTTACCAACTGCATTTCAGCAAAGTACAAATGTAGAAACAGAATTCGTGCTTTGTACATTCATACCTTCCAAAGTACAAAGCACAAATTCAATCCAAACAGCACCTAAATTTTATCGCAACAAAGAGATTTAATACAACAGGGACTGCAGGGGTGTAGCAAAACACCCCAACAGGACAACATCAAACACCCCTCATAAGTATTGTTTATATTAAACTCGTGATTTACCATTTTTATTAATTTCTGGTGTCTTTAAATTAGTTTGAGAAGGATAGAAGAGTGTTATTAGAATTGTTTTAAGAGCGAACCCATATTTAAGTGTCTTTACGAGTTAGTTATGGATTTGTATTAAGTTCTGAAGTATCTGAAAACAATTCAGTTCAATTTCCTAAACCAAATCAGAGACTATAAAGAGACATCTGAATCCATATTTTGAGTCTACAAATAGAACCATTGTAAATGCAATTAAGAAACTGTTGACTTAACAAAATAAATTTTGGTTTAGTGAATTCTTGTTGTTGTCAGAAATTTAGCTTTTTTGACCTATTTCTTCTTCTTAGTGATCTGTTCTTTTGCGGTTTACCTTAACAGCACGAGTTCTTTCTCTTCCTAAATTCTCGCCCATCCTTTGGTGCACAGCATGTTGACTACTTGCTTTTCCATCCCTATTCCTAATTCTTAATAACCCCAAACGTCTCCATCACCCCACAAAACCCACCAACAGATCTGAAATCTATAGGGCCCTTAGCCCATCCAACATCAGGAACCCAAGGCTTCCAAGTATCTGTCTTTGTTTTACTAATAGCATAGAAACAAGGATCATAATTTCAATACGTATCTTGGGGTCTGTTAAAAGGCTGTTATTCTTTAAGTTTAGTACAACAGGGGTACTTTGGTATTTTCCACATCTTTTATTTTATGTTGTGTCACCCTAGTAAAAATATAAAAAAGCGGGCACCGCCAGCAGCTCTTTTGGACTTTCAATCTCTCTTCCTTTCTTCTTCTTCTCTTCTAGACAACATGGTATCAGAGCGGGACTGTCAGATCTGAAAGGAAAGATCGAGCAAACATCTTGTCTTCTCCCTTCGCCAGCTACAGTGTGGTTTATTGAAGATCTAGAATTTTTTTCTGCACCGGACTGAAGTACCCTCTCTCCCTTCCTCCTTTTTTATTTTTTCAGGTTGTGTGCCAGGACAGAACCTGTAATAGGTTCAGTTGGTTGATGTGAGGTGATCAGCACCTCTTTCTTTCCTTTTTTGTGGGACCGGCTGATCCCTATGATGGAATGTAGGTTGGTGATGACCTTTATATGCTGCGACAGCAGCCTTCTGATGGATTTGTAGGTCAGGGGATGACCTGTATATGCTGCAACAGAAGCCCTATTTGATTTGTAGGTCAGGAGAGGCCCTGTATACTGAGCTTTAAAAAGAAAAGGAGGGGAGTGGTTGGCTCTAGTCTCCTGGTGCAAGGAATTTTTTTTTTTTTTTTTGGGGGGGGGTGGTGGTGTTAGGCTGCTCTTTTTTTTAAGGTTTTTGTGCTCACTTGGAAACCTGAAGCAGTAATTATGAGTGGTGAAGATTCTGCCACATCTGGTGTCTTCTCAATGCAGAATGGAATGAATGGGGGTTTCCCTATGGCTGTCATACCCCTGAATGGCTTAAATTATTTAGAATGGTCGAGGGGGATCAAGTTATACATTACTGCAAGGGGAAAGATAGGGTAAATGGGAGAATTAAAGAACCTAATTCTAGGAGTGCTGAGTATGACAGATGGAACCAGGAAAACAGCATGGTCATGTCCTGGCTTTTAGTGTCTATGCAACCTTAGGTGAGAAAGAACTTTATGTGGGCTGAAACGGCTTATGAGATTTGGGAACATGCAAAGTCGACCTATTCTGAACTGCGTCACTATGCAAAAATCTATCAGTTACAGGGGGAATCATCCACTTGTAAACAGGGGGAGAGGAATCTTTTTGTGTACTATTCAGACTTGACCTCCGTCTGGAAGGAGTTAGATCACTATTAGAGTTAGATTGAAAGTGTGATGAAGATGCAAAAGCCTACAAGAAACTTGTTTCCCAACAAAGAGTGTTTGCATTTCTCAATGGCTTGAACCCTGTGTATGAATCCATCAGAGCCCAGATCCTAGGCAGCAAGGATCTTCCATCTATCCAAGAGGTTTATACATTAGTACAATCAAAAGAAAGTAGAAGAAATTTAATGAATAGTTGTGAAAGGGATGCAATTGTGTTAGCAGCGAAAGGGAATGTTACTACAGCTGGGGGAAATCCTTTTAAGAAGGAGGACTTTCAAAAAAGGGTAGGGGACAAAGACAAACTATGGTGCACCCATTGCCAGAAACCCTGACACACCTGTGAAACATGCTGTAAACTTCATGAGAAGCCAAAATGGGATTAGGAATTGAGTAAGAAGCAAGGTTCATATCTGAATAAGTCATGACAGCAAGGTCCAAAAAAGTTCACCATAGCAAACATGGGTACTCAGGAGAATCAACCCCCTACTACTACTATGACTCAGACACAAACCTCTAGTTCTGATCCAAGGGAGGGTATTATTAATTACGTGACCATTTAGAACTCTATGATAGAGCAATTCGTCAGATGGATGCTTCTACTCAACTTCATTTGCGTCTACATCAGGCAACTCTGCCACAACTTTCCATGTATCGTCTCATTCCCCTGACTATCATTGGATAATTGATTCTGGAGTGTCAAAACATGACTGTAAGTTCACTTATTTTCAGACCTACCACCTCATCTCTGGAAGAGACAAGGTGAGACTAGCTAATGGTTCATACTCTACCATAGCTGGTCAAGGAACCATTTCTCTTCCCTTTGGCCTCACCCTGACTAATGTTTTACATGTTCCAAAGTTCCCTATTAATTTGTTCTCTATTAGTAGTATCACTAATTCTTTAAACTGCTCAGTGACCGTTTTCCCTTCTTATTATGTGATCCAAGATTTGGCCTCGGGGAAGACGATTGGTAGAGGACGTATGGTGGATGGACTCTACATGTTGGTCTTACAGTCACAAAGTCTAAGAGTCAGTCTAGTACGAGTCATGTCTATTTATGACACAATCGTCTTGGTCATTTGTCTTTTGAGTCTTTAAAAATGGGTGTTTCCAGAGTTATTTAAGTTAGTGTCAGTGTCAGAGTTTACATGTCAAACTTGTCAATTGAGTAAGCATTGTAGAACTCATTTTTCTTCAAAGAATAATAAATCTAAATTTCCTTTCCACATTGTTCATTCTGATGTTTGGGGCCCTGTTACTTTATCATCTGAGAGTGGCTACAAGTATTGTATTACCTTTATTAATGATTTCTCCAGATACACATGGGTATATCCCATGCGAACCAGGGATGAAGTACCAAAATTACCCAAGATTTCCACCGAATGTTCACCCAATTTCAAACTGAAACCCAAGTTTTTCAATCCGATAATGCCAAAGAATATTTTTATAATGATCTCACGAAGTTCTTTGCTTCGCGTGGATCACTTCACCGTAGCTCATGTGCTCGAACACTACAACAAAATGGTGTTGCTGATAGAAAGAATCTATACCTTCTTGAAGTGGACCGGGGGTTACTCATTCATATGAATGTCCCGAAACGTTTTTGGCTTGAGGTTGTCCTTTGTGCTACCTATCTCATTAATCGTATGCCCTCTCACTGGTTAGAGTGCAAAGCCCCACATCAGCTTCTTTTTCCTAAGGCTCCTCTTCTTTCGATTCCTCCTTGTGTGTTCGGTTATCGTTGTTTTGTTCAAAACCTGGCGCCCACTCGTAGAAATTTAGACCCTTGTGCTATTCCTTGCATCTTCTTGAAGTACTCCATCACTCAGAAGGGATACCGGTGCTTTGATCTCGTCTGTCGTAGGTACTATGTTTCCATGGATGTTTCTTCCTTTGAGAATGAGCCTTTCTTCCCTGTTTTTCATCAGGGGGAGTGTAGGAATGAGGAAAAACCAGTTCAGCTCCCTCCTCTTCCTGATCCTCCTCCCTTTCATGTTTTCTTTCGATGTCATGAAGGCTAGCCAAGTTCAAGAGTTGTGGAGCATCTAAAAATTGTACCACCAATGCCATCAAACTCTCCAGGGGTGGATCCTACCCAACCAGGTACCTTGGTTCCCATTGATGTTCCCGACCCTATTGCCATTGATACCTCTACTGCTGATGACCTTGACCTTCCTATTGCTCACCAAAAGGGTGTTAGGTCTTGCACCATTTTTTTTTTATGAATAGGTCTTGCACCATTAAACATCCCATTTCCCATTTTGTTTCCTATGAGAACTTTTCACCTTCCTTTCGGGCCTTCCTTTCTTCCATTGACAATGTTCCCTTTCCTAAGAATGTGGCAGAAGCTCTGTTGGTGCTTGAATGGACAGATGCTATGAAGGAAGAGATTACTGTTTTGCATAAAAATGACACATGGTAATTGGTAGATCTTCCCGAGGGGAAGGAACTAGTTGGATGTAAATGGGTTTTAACAATAAAGCATAGGGCTGATGGCACAGTGGAACGGTATAAAGCTCGTTTAGTGGCAAAAGGGTTTACACAAGTGTATGGAGTGGATTATGCAAAAACTTTTGCACTTGTTGCTAAGATGAACTCTTGGAGTCCTTTTCTCTTTAGCTACTAATCTTGATTGGAACCTTCATCAACTAGATATTAAGAATGCCTTTCTACATGGTGACCTTGAATAGGAAGTGTAAATGGTACAACCCCCTGGTTTCCGAGTTCAAGGAAATGAACAGAAAGTGTGCAGGTAAAAAAAGCATTATATGGCCATAAACAATCACCGAGAGCCTAGTTCAGCAGGTTTCATGTAGCTGCTCAACAAAGAGGATACAAACAATGTCAAGCTGATCACACATTATTTGTGAAAAGAGGGAAAGGAAAAATTGCAGCCCTGATAATTATAAAAAAAAAAAAAAAATTTTGCAGCCCTGATACAGTGATTTAAAAGGCACGCCTCAGGCACGCCTTGGCCCACAGGTGAGGCACATTTTAGGGTAGGCGCCTCACTCAGGCCCTAGGCGCAACCCATTCAAAAGGCACACGCCTAGTGCGCCTTGTGCCTTAGCCTAGGCCTGCGCCTTTTGAAAATTTGACGCCTTTTCCTTTTTTTTTGAGTCTAGCGGCTGGGCCGGGGGCTCCGGCCCGGACCCCGTGCCACGCCCCTCGAGGCCAGCCGAAATAAGTCCATGTTAGGGTCTTAAATTCCAAGTTTTCACACAAAAAATAATGATTTTATGGTTTTAATTACTTTTAAGAAGATATTTTATTATGATGAATGAATGGACAACATTACAAAATAGGGGGTTCTCAAAGCTTTGGAATGTAATATGTCACATTAGCTACTTGATTTAATTGAGAAAAAAAGAGATTATGGGTTTTATATGCTTGAAAGTGTTTTATATGTTTGATTTCATTTTTAAACTCTCATTTGAATATGCTTTACATATTATGTTTTGTATTTTAATTTTAGGTTATCTAAAACATTTATTTTAAATTTTAAGTTTATATTTTTATAAATATTATGTTTTATAATTTTTTGATTTTTTAGAATTTTTTGGCATTTTTTGACATTTTTTTATTTTTTAGCTTTTTTTTTAAATTGTGCACCTTGCCTCAAAAAGGTGCACGCCTTGCCTTGCTCTTTGCACCTCAGGCGCAAAATGGCCCTTGTGCCTTTTTTGTGCTTTTCGCTTTTAAAACACTGCCCTGATAGTATATGTTGATGATATAGTTATCAATGGTGATTGGAAAGATGAAATTCAAGAGTTGAAGAGATTTCTTGCTACCCAGTTTGAAGTGAAAGATCTAGGTCCTTTAAGGTACTTCCTTGGGATTGAAGTTGCATGCTCACAAAAAGGTATCTTCATTTCCCAAAGAAAGTATGTCCTAGATCTACTCCAAGATACAAGAAAATTGGGAGTGAAGCCTATTGATTCTCCTATTGATCCTAATCACAAATTAGGTGACTGTCAAGGTGAACTCATCAAGGATGTGAAACAATTCAGAGACTTGTGGGAAGGTTGTTATATCTTTCCATGACCCGACCAGACATTGCTTATGTAGTGGGTGTTCTTAGCCAATTCATGCATGCCCCTAAGACCACCCACCTTAAAGCAACTAAAAGAGTTCTTAGATATCTTAAGAAGTTTCTAGGTGCAGGTTTATTGTTTCAAAAGCACAGGCATTTGAAAGTTGAAGTGTATACCGATGCAGATTGGGTAGGACCCCCGAGTGATAGGAAGTCGACCAACGGCTATTGTACCTTTGTGGGAGGGAACCTAGTTACTTGGAGAAGCAAAAAGCACAATGTAGTGGCTAGGTCTACTATTGAAGCTAAATATAGCAATGTCTCATGGAGTGGATGAAATTATGTGGCTAAAAAGTTTGTTGAGTAAGTTGAGATTTACAGTTGATGGACCTACGACTCTATACTATGATAAGAAAGCAACCATAAACATCACTGCGAATCTTGTGCTACATGATAGAACTAAACATATCAAAGTCGACAAACATTTAATCAGAGAAAATGTTGTCACAGGGGAAGTGTGTACTCCCTATGTCAGTTCTGAAGACCAACTTGCAGACATCTTCACAAAAGGGTTACATCACTTGCGACATTATGATTCATGTGACAAGTTGGGCATGATTGACATCTATGTCCGAACTTGAGGGGGAGTGTTAAAAGGCTGTTATTCTTTTAAGCTTAGTACCGCAGTGGTACTTTGGTATTTTACACATCTTTCATTTTATGTTGTGTCGCCCTAGTATAAATATAAAAAAGCTGGTGCCACCAACAGCTCTTTTGGACTCTCAATCTCTCCTCTCATCTCTCATCTCTCTTCCTTTCTTCTTCTCTTCTGGACAACAGGGTCCCGATACACTTGTTTACAGTTGCTTCGGGAACCCTCTGTTTTTAATAAAAAATATACACAAAACCTCCCCAAAAACCAATTTTTGAAAAAAAATAAAAAAAAAAATGCACATGCTTTTTAGTACCAATACACCTCTGCCAATACACAGGGGCGTATCAATACTTTGAACCTTGCATAGAAGAGATATCAGATGCCTTAAAGATCCTGACAATACCTCTAGAGCTATGTTAGCTCTTCTTCAAGGGATTAAGACCAGATTTACATTGGAATCAAAGAGAACTGACTGGAAAGTAATTCCCAGGTGATTATTAGTTGGATGTCAAACTCCCCTCATGCCATGGAGGTTCAGAGACCAGATTAAATAGGCTAGATTCTCATATTCAGAACAAAATTCATGTTCAGATGGGTTTCACAATCTACTAATTGGTCAGCCAATAAGCTTATCGAAGAGTTGTTTTGAGGGTAAGCTGCCTCAGGTAACACTGGTGATTTTCTATTCATTATATATTTATCCAGCCCTTTCTCAGCCCCTTAGTAGGTCGCCCTTGCAAATTTTTCCCCATTTTAGTTGTGAATGATGACCATCTATTCATTCTTTTTATTAATATAACATTCACTATACAGATTAAGAAAAATAGGAAAAAAATGTGATATTGTCGATTTTGTCCAGATCTGCTACCAGAATGATGTACACTTCTAAAGGATATGAAATCAAACACTACAGAGGGCTTCATAATATACGGATCTTGTTAACATCCTCAGAACTACACTAATTAATGATTTAACAAATACAATGCAAAATGCCTTATACAAAAAATGTCATATATATGGTTCTATAGCTGATGATCTTTCATATGATTGGCACGGACATACAAGCCATTAGCAATTACTAAGTACCACAGCTTTGGAACCAAAAGTAAGATCTTACCAGTTAAACAAGTTACATAATGAAATAACCAATAAATAGTTATAAAAGTCACATTAGACTAGAAATAGCTCAACATTAAAGAAACATGGTTAACCTTGCAAATACATAAGCTCCACTTATACAAGTAATTCTCTTAAGTGATACTTCTGTACGTACAAATCTCTTTTGTCTTTCTTTTTTCAGGGTACAATTTACGTTAAATTGTTAATACAAATCTTAGACACCAATGGAAAGAAGAACCAGATCAGCACATACATCTGATTGACAAAGTACCAGAGGTTTAACAGATTATAGAGAAGATAGGGGAAACAAAATGAAAACTTGCCTGTAATAACTTTGCCAGCAAATCCTTCACAAACTTTATATAAGGGTAGGAGCATGTAAATTGCATATTTCTGGCAATCTTCCTGACCAATCTGTGCTGAAATCATTCTAAAGCAGTTGAAAACAATCTTCATCTGCATACATAATATGCACCATTGTTAGAAATGTTTTTAAAATTTATTGGTAAAGGACATGAGCATATAGGCAGACCATGCTTATTAAATTATCATGTAAACATCTGAATATATGTTAGTTATTCAACATATGTTCAAATTGGAAGCAAATTAAGAGCTTACTACTCAAATGTTTGGTTGAGTACCTGAGTATCTGCCATTTGAAGTGCCATTTTCCCCATTTTCTTAAGAAGAGGAGAGACAAGCAAAGATTGAAGATCTTGACTACTTTCTTTATCATGTTCATATTTGCTAGAAGTAAGAGATGCAAAGACAGTTCGTTCTTTTCTTGCACCAAGCATCTGAAAAGCTGCAAGAATGTATCCCTGTTCATGCACTTGGAGAGCAGACCAGAACCTGTGAATGTCCATGCATTCCATCTGTCCCACTAAAGAATGCACCCCACATGTAGCAAAAACAAGATTTTGGGTAATAATGTTGCTTGCTGCATCATCCGATATCCCTGCACGAAGCTGGCGAAAGAGGGAAACAGCTATCCAAAATAGTCGACTAGGTTTCATTAGTAAAAAGGTCTCCATATTCAACTTCTCAGGATTTAATCTGCTATTTTCTGTTGAAGTAGCAAAATATGAGGATACAAGACGATTTGATATGCTGCGTACCCACATATGCGGGTGTAACAGGAAATTACAAACTGCTTCCCATATCTCCTGGAAGAAACAAAGGAAAAGGGAAAATTTAGTAAGGAAAAAGAGTAGCTTCCAAATAAATGCTTAATGAGGCATTCTAACAAAAAAATGTTAATTAAGTTTTGAGGTATTATTAATGATCAAAAGAAATCTTAAAAGTTTTGATTGAGAAATCATTTATATTCTAATTTGCATAATACCGCCACAAATTTGTGAAATATCTAAGCAAAAAGCAATTTCTATACCCACTTTCACCAACAAAATTTTCCAGCCAAATATAATAACTATCATTCATATTCTTATCACGTATCACTTGGTCTCATTAGACTAGCAGTGTAACAGAAGTCACTATCATCATACATCATCAAGAAAATACACTAGAATAGGCTGATGTACTTATTAGGTATTCAACTGAAAACTGACAAACATGCAGGAAATTTCTCATGACAACTTCACCAATAACACAATATCAAGAATGTTGTGTCATTGTGCACAAAAAACTAGTTTTATACCTCGAGATTCCGTTCTAGATATAATTCTGGAAATTGAAGAAGCATCTTATCCAACATAATCAGTGAATAGTAAGCTTCTTTCCATAATGGAATTTTATCTTCGTTGGCACAATCCATTTGCTTATCTTTAACAACACCAAGGGCAAGCTTAAAAATGTCCCTTGTCACTGGCAATATATTGTTAATATGTCTTTGGAACCCTTTCTTCAGGACTTCGACAAGTAATCCCAAGACCTGTAAAAACATGTCAAAAAGCTATCAATAATAAAGAAGACATACCACAGTGCAATTCAAAAGAGCATGATCAGAAAGACATCAATTTTTCTAATGATCTGACAATTAATAGAAAAATAAAAATTTGCTTTATCTTCCATCTACTAATGAACCAAACATAATCTATGTGCTTTTGCTTAAAAAATAATAGAAGATTTTCATTAAACTTGACATGAAGATTAGGAAGGCCCAAATCTAGAAAGGAGCCCTACAGTGCACGACACCACCCTCTACACCAAAAGCATTAGTGCAACAAGAAATAAAACCTATCTTCTTAAGTTCTTTATTGAATTAAAGTTATATATTCATCAGTTTTTCAATTAAATGGTAAGAGAAGTACACTAAATAAAGATTTAATAAGGATTATGTTTTCAGTCTAGATTCAGAATAAAGTAGAAGACAGAAGAGAGAAGAAACAAAGAAGATTTTAGAGCCAAAAGAAAAGAGTGGTGCCAACCACTCTTTATTTATATAAGAGAACATAAAGTGATGTAAAATTACTACAATACCCCTGTGTCACAAATAACTAATATCACAACAAGAGAACATAGAAATCCTAATGCATGTCATTCATGCTTAATCATAAACATATGCACATTCTTATCTATAAAATAGAAGCAATGGAAGAGACACAGCATAGGCCAAAGTGGAAGAACCTAATGAAAGGAAATAATTCATCCAATAATGTGAGCTATCCAGGAAGAAGGGAACAACATAATCATTTAAGAAGACATCCTTTGAGGCACTATGGGGAAGAATTGTCTTTTGGCAACCCTTGGGTTTTGGCTTTAAAAGACTTCAAAGAGATTCACATTAATGATTTTAGAAAAACCTCCCAAAATTCTAAAACCACGTTTAGAAAACCATAACCACCATCACCCCTCCATCCAATGTCAGGGTTGTCAGACTTCAATCTGATAGAAAAACCCAGGAGGCCGGGGTCTTTCTACTCATGGAGCTGCAGGTATAGGAAGAGTTTTCTTCATTACAAGTGGTAAAACCATTTGGGCATACCATCTGACATGCTGATTTGACCAAACCTTAGATACTAACTCTCTTAACAGACCTTAGAATGGCAAACCAGAATCTATACTAGCACCTCCATATTAAACAAAACTTAGTGAGCACCATAAGATGGATCTACAATTCAAGAAGCAGCCATTGGAAATTGGTTTGTTTTTTCCCAAAAGTTGACAATCTATTACCTTCCTTTCAGCTAGTATTAGGTGGATTCCCAGGACTGAATGTAACAGTTGAAGGGTTTCCCAAAACTGGTGTACACTGGCCTTTTTTGCATAGTGACTTGTCTCTCGCACTATGATTATCATAGCGCTGAGAGTTTTTACACCTTTTGGCTTTTTGTGAATGGTTAACATACTGTTCATGATCATCTTTTCTCAAAAAATGCTAAACTCATCTATATTAGAGGAAAGGACAACAAAATGAAAAAGGATATGCAACACCTTAAAAGGCATAAGAGAATACCACTGAGTAATTATATATAACACGAATAATATTGGTCACAGCCTATCAAACAATGTATATTGTCTCGGAAAATTATAGTATAGGTCATCCATCTGGAATTATCTAGTAAAATATAAATTTTGTTCTTTTATCAAGTCAGATAGCACATAGGAGCCACTGGCATTGCTTGGTGGTAAAATCTCAGGCTGACAAGTTTAAGAACACAGGTTCAAATCTGAGAGTAGCCACTTCGTGCAAAAAACGCAAAAGATTATATCCATATCCAGTCAACCCCTCCCAGGACCCTACATAGCTAGGAGCCTAGGACCAATACCCCCCAACTCTGTGGCTGACTTTCTTGAGTAATGGCTGGGTTGTAGATTAGGCCCTAGATGTATCTTGTTTGGTAAATTGGTGATGTATGCTGTAATGCAATGTATTTGGGAGGAGCAGAACAGCTGGTCTTTGAAGGGAAAAGCTCTTCTTTGGTAGACCTGAGAGGGAGAATTCTGCTGCATAGTTGTCAAGGCGGCGCCTAGGCGATAAGGCACCCTTGGAGGCTCGCCTCACCCAGTCTCCAAGCAGTTTTATGCACTGGGTTATAAAATATTTTTATGTTTTTAATTTTTGACATTATAGTTATAAAATAGGCATTATTAAACTAGAATATTCATTTTATGTGTTTATATACTAATTTCTTTTTATCATTTTCTTATTTTGTTAGGGTTTAATCAACGCAAACATTGCTAATTGCTGTATTGAACCCATGGTTCAAAGTATCAATACACTTGTGTATTGGTAGATGTGTATCGGTACTTATAACGATACTCCTCCTATTTTTTTATTTCCTTGGTTTCCAATTTCATTTTTAAATATATATATATATATTATTTAAAAAAATGGGTCCTCGAAAACACCTGTAAACAGGTATCAGGACCCCAAAGATACAATACAATACACTCGATACAGGGCGTATCATATTGAAATTTTTATCCTTGATTGAACCCTCAAAAATTTCAAAACCTGAACCAATAACCAAGGGAAGAACTTAAAATTTTGTCTAATCAACACATTTTCTTCTTCCAAATCTTCTTCTTCTTCCACCTTTTCTTTTCTTCTTTCCTATAACAAAAGTAGGGTTCAGCCCCTATATTTTTTGAATTTTCTTTGTTCTTTTTCTTCTCATAAAATGTTGATTTTCTAGACTTGAACATGAAATTTATACTTCTGTTATGAAAAATATGAATAATTATTAAGAAAAGATGGTTATGGAACCTAGGGAACTACCCTAGGCTATATGGTTTTACTTAAAAAAAAATCCATCCCCTAGACCTTGGCACCTTGAAAACTATGATCTGCTGCTTCTTAACTCTTGAATGAGTGCAAACAAGTTGTTTAGAGGGATTTCAATGGCGGATTTAGAAAGGAATTTATTGCAGGTCCTGATTTCTTCTTGTATGGCACCTTCTAGCAGAACTAGTCTTTCTCCTAGACCCCCAGTGGAGCTCATACTTCAGTTTGATGGCAGCTGTTTAACTTCATTGAATCACAAGCGACAAGCTAGTATTGGGGATCAACACCTGGAAGTTTTTGTTGTTGGGCCAATTGGTATTGCAGATGTTGAAGCTGGGATTTTAGTGGGCCAATTGGTATTGCAGATGTTGTTGAAGCTGAGCTTCGTGCCTTGGTGGGTGTTGATTTAGTGGTCAATCTTAGCCTCATGGAGGTGGTGGTGGTGGAAGGTGATTCTAAAATTGTAATCAGCTGGATGAAAAACTATAAGGGGGATCCTTGGAGATTCAGCTACATTTTTAATGAGATCGTGGAAATTAAAATTAAAGGGCCTGTTTGTTTGCTCTAAAGTCTGGCATCTGAAAGTGCAATAATTACGTTAAGAGGAATACTGGTATTGGTGAACTTTTCTTTCCTCTGAACTCTAAATGAGAGAATGTTGTTCTGAATTCTGAATTCTGAAAATTATCAAAAATCCATTTTGACCCAATATACGAGAGTTTTTGTTTGTCTTTTTGGGGGTATTATTAGAAAACAAAAAGTTGTATGATTGTACTTTAAGAAATAAGAGATAAGAGGAAATGACACCCAATTTTCTCTTAAAGCTAAAAGATTCCTCTTAAGAGATAAGAGTTAAGAGGAAACAAACAGACCCTAAGTCTAGTTTGATCTGCCATTTTAGGTGGATTCCTAGAGATCTGAATTGTATGGCTGATGGTTTGGCCAAATCAAGGGTGGGGAGGGTTTTTTTTTCATGGTGACTCCTCAACACCTTTTGAAGTTTTTCTTTTGTTTGGTTTTGTTGTACATCCTTTTTTTTGCAATGAAAGTTAACCTTTTCTCAAAAGAAAAAAAATCCAATGTTGGATAATGGCCCATTAAATAAGCTAATACATCCTAGAACTTGTAAATGTTACACTGACATTTATGTGTAAGCAACAAGTGAAATAAAGATCCTCCATAATGTATCAGCTGAAGAAGATGTGCTAACAAATAATGGAAACCATTCTCCACTAACAAGCTTGGAAAATGTGACATATGTGATCATTGGCTAGGCAAAAAGAGAATTCAAGCACACCAAACTGGTACATGCACATAAAGAAATCTGTAACCGAAATGTATGGGTCCACCAAAGAAAAAAAAAACTTTTTGGGTAAACCAGTTCCTCCAAGGGTTGGGGCATTTCATTGGGAAATTTTCTTGGAAAAAATCAACACTTGTGATCTACTTCAAAGAGAAAAGCCTTTTCCGTGCTTATCTCCTAACTGGTGTATTCTTTATGAAGTTAATGGTGAGTCTTGCTGCCACTTATTAATCTTCTGCTCCTTTGTTTTTTTCTATTTTGGATTGGTTTCTCTCTTTGTTTGGTCACAAATGGTCTCCCCCACCAAACATGCAAAGCCTTTTTAACTCTTCTGTAATAGTTGAACAAAGAAGAGGGGAAGAATGCTGTGAAGATAGTGTTTTAAAAGCACAAGGGCCAATTTGTGTCTGAGGTGTGAGGTACAAGATGCAAGGCGAGGCGCGTGCCTTTTTGAAGCAAGGCACAAAAATAGAAAAAAATGTTAGAAAATTAAAAAAAAAATGCCAAAAAAATTAAACATAATATTAATAAAAAATATAAACTTAAATTTTAAAATAAATGTTTTAAAAAACCTAATATCTAAAATTAAATTACATAAACATAACATGTAAAGCGTATTCAAATGAAAATTTAAAAATAAAAGCAAACATATAAAGCATTTCCAAGCATGTAAAACCCACAATCTCTTTTTTTTCCTCAATTGTATTACTTCAAGTAGCTAATGTGATGTAAAATATATTGCATTCTTGACACTACGAGTCGCCTTTGTGCCATGCCCCTCGAGGCAAGCCCGAACAAGTCCATGTTAGGGCCTTAAATTCTTATTTTTCACATAAAAAATAATGATTTTAAAACTTTAATTGACTTTTAAGAAGATATTTTATTGGAGTGAATGAATGAACAACATTAGCAAAAAGCGTAGAATTTTAAAAATGTGCACGCCTGGGATGAGGCACAAGGCGCACCAGGTGTGCACCTTTTGAAAGGGGTGCGCCTAGGACCTAGGCGAGGCGCATACCATATGCGCCTAGGCGTGCCTTTTAAATCACTATGTAGAGATGCACAAGAGCTGCATCTTAAGCATGGATTCAAGCTTCATCAAGTTGAACTTTGATGGCTGCAGTGAAGGTAAGTAGGTAACCCTAAGCCTGGATTAAGGAAGGTGTAGTCTTTGCTCTGTTTTCAGGCCCAATTGGAATAGGGGACTCATTCCAAGCAGAAGTTATGGCTGTGTTGGAGGGTGCAAAAATGGCTAACGAATTAAATATTAGCAGGTTGATCAAAGGAGATTCAAAAGTGGTAATAGGGATGGTTAGGCAAGGAGGATGATGGCATGTGGCCATACATTAATGAACGAAGAATTTTCATGTGGTTAACTCAGGGTACGGAAGTGAGATTGCAGTGAGTAAAAAGGTGTGCTAACTCCTTTGCGGATGCAGTTGCCAAACAAGAGGTGGGAAGGAATCAGTTGTTCTAGACTATTGTAATCTTTCTACTTCTTTGGGGAAGAGTTAAGAGAGTTTACCTCTCCCCACTTATGTACTTGTTTCTTAATTTTTAACGAAATGGTTCTGTTGTTGATTAAAAAAAATGTAAGAGTCCACCAAAAAAGGGTTTACGCTTTGCTATGTCCAACACAAATAAAGGTTGCACATGGGATAATAGTTTGGAGATATGTGCCCATAAACATCCTATTAAGGAGTTTAATCAACTTTATTCAGGATTCCAAGAAATTGTGTCGTGCTCCTGCTGGCATCTGGGATCTTGCATATCCATCAAAGAAATGGGATTAACAAAATTCTTATAAGGATAATTTCTGCACCATATGCACAAGATGTTTTTTCATTCAATGGTTTTGTCAATCACAGAAGCCACGTCTTAACAGAGTATCTACTTGAAAACATTCAATAACATTCTACCTCTATATTCAACTTTACCATGAAAAACATTACCTCAAAGTCGGAGGAGGAAATCAAATCTGCTATTTTCTTGTTGGCGGCTGATAAGTCGCCTGGCCTGGATGGCCTTACCAATTTGTTCTACATCAAATGTTGGGACACTGTTAAGCAAGACATTATGAATGTTTTCAGGCTTTTCATGATAATGCCTCTCTCCAAAGAAGTTTGAATGCTACCTTCATTACTCTTATCCCAAAAATTGAAGGGGCTATAAATGTGAAAGACTTCAGGCCGATCAGCCTCCTTCACAGCTTTTATAAGATTCTGGCTAAAGTCCTTGCTGAGAGAATGAAAGGGGTGTTACGAAGTGTCATTTCTAACAATCAAAGTGCCTTTGTTCCTGGTAAGCAGATGCTTGATTCGGTCCTCATTGCCAATGAATTAATTCACTCAAGAAGAAGAGAGGGAGTTCCTGGTTTAATATGCAAGTTAGATATTGAGAAGGCTTATGATCATGTTAATTGGAGGTGTATTGATTCAGTTCTGCAACATATGAATTTTGGGCAGAAGTGGAAAAATTGGATTAAAGTTTGCTCAACCTCTCTAAGTTTTCAGTTTTGATCAATGGCCAGTCAGCAGGCTTTTTTGAAAGCTCTAGGGGGCTGAGGCAGGGGGACCCTCTGTCTCCTTTGCTTTTTATCTGTGTAATGGAAATTCTGACCCTGTTTTGTAAGAGGACAGCTGATGATGGCAGTTGGGAAGGCTTTGCTATTTGTCCGGGGGGAGAAAAGGTCAATATTCTCCAGTTTTCTGATGACACCTTGTGCTTTATGGATGTATCCCCATCCCAGTTGAATCTCATTCTTGGTATTTTAATATGGTTTGAAGTGGTTTCTGGGCTGAAGGTGAACTTGAACAAAATCTCTATCATTCCAGTGGGGCGTGTTTGTAATTTAGTGCGCTGAGGTTTTGGCCTGTAAGACTGATTTTCTTCCTGTGAAGTATTTGGGTCTCCCTTTGGGGGTTAACTGGTTCTCTTCCTCAATTTAGGATCCAGTCATTGAGAGAATGGAAAGAAAGCTATCATCTTGGAAGGCTAAATACCTTTCTTTTGGAGGAAGGTATTTCCTTTGGAGGGGCTGGGAGGAGGATAATAAGGTTCATCTAGTTAATTGGGACCAAGTTTGTCTCCCTAAAGCTGAAGGTGGTCTAGGAATAAGGAAATTGAAGAATTTCAATACTGCTCTTTTGTGCAAGTGGATTTGGAGATTCTCGGCTGAGAGAAATGCTTGGTGGAGATCTCTCATTGCTGAAAAATATGGGGTTGATTGGGGAAACTGGAGAACTAGAGATCCCCCTCCTAATTGGGGTAATTCTCTATGGAAAGGAATTATGAGGAACCTTCCTATTTTTGGGGAAGGGATTTCTGTGATTGTGGGTAAAGGTGATAGAACAAAATTCTGGAAAGATAAATGGTGTTTAGAAAGCCCCCTTGCTGGTTCCTTCCCTCAACTTTTTAGATGTGCAGTTAATCAGGAAGCCACTGTGGCTGATTACTTCTCTTTGATTGAGAATTCAGTTTCTTGGTCCCCTCTCATAAGGAGAAATTTGTTTGATTAGGAGCTGGAAGAATTCTTGGAGCTGATGACGCTTCTTAATCAGAAGATTGAGGTGCTTGGGGAGGATATGTGGTACTGGAAATGGAAGCCGAATGGGGTTTTTTCTGTGAAGTTCATGGCTGATAAATTATGTAGTGTGGGGCTTTCTGAGTTCCCAGCTGCACAGATTTGGAATCCTATGAGCCCCTCAAAATCCAACTTTCTGGTTTGGACGATGGCCCTTGACAAATGTCTTTCCAGGTCTAATCTGTTGAGAAGAGGCATTCCAATTCTGGATTCAAATTGTGTTCTTTGTGGGACTGCTGCAGAAACTACAGAGCATTTATGTCTTCATTGTCCGTTCTCCTTTCAGATTTGGATGCATTTTCTTAAAGCTTTGGGTGCTAAGTGGGTCTTGCCGAGATCAGTTATGGAACACCTTTGTTGCTGGAAGTTGAAGGGTCTAAGTAAGAGAGGGAAGCTAATGTGGAAGACAATCCCAGCTGCTGATCTGTGGTCCATTTGGGCTGAAAGGAATAGTAGAATCTTCTGTAATAGGTCTAAGGGTCTTGATGATGTAATTCAGAGAGCTGTGGGCAAGTTGATTTCTTGGATTTCCATTTCTGGGGAATTCAGAGATCTTGGCATGCCCGTTTTGTTTCAGTCTTGCTCCTGGTGGAGTTTGTAATCCTGGCTGCTTTTCAGACTGCCTTCTTGGGTCTGAATTGCAGTTTGCTTTTGTTTCTCTGTGCTGAATAAATTTACATTACCTTTTCCAAAAAAAAAAAACATTACCTCAAAGTTTTTCGCTAGACAACCAAACCAGGTGCAGAAAACCCCTAAACTAAATTTTGATATGTACTCTATAATGTTTTGATCAACTTTCTTCTATTCCCTAATTTTTTCCATTTATCAGTGTCACATTGATTCATCTTAGCAAAAAATCTAGTCCTATTTCACACAGTTGACTCAATAGAAACAATAACCAGTATGGTATGTTGTAACATTTTTTAACCAAATTAACATTTACATAGTATTTCTATTACTGGAGAACAAGAAGTAAAAACATTTTTTTGCTTCTCATAACAGAATTAACAATGGAAATGTTTCTTCAAGACCAAAAGTGTGGGTCACTTAAATTGCATTTATCAGTTAACTCATTACATGCCAACTCATAAAGATTCAATTAGTGCACCTTAACCACAAATAACCCACAGTGCTATATTCATGAGTTACCTGTGCTGCAGCACACCATAAATGTTGCTCTTTACCCATATACCATAAGAGACTGTACTCCAAAATAGGATGAAGTGAATTCTGGCTAGTACGCGCAATTAAAAGTTTTATCACAGCACCAACCATTGAATGCACTTTATTGTCATTATCATTAGCCAAACAAACCACAAGATGGAGGAATAATGTATGGGCCTGCCCATCCACAACACTTTTAGGAAATTTCATCAGAATGGCATGAAGCATTTCAAGTACTGCTTCTCTTCCAGAAGAGTGCTCATAGCTGAAAATAAAAGAGAAAAAAGTTAAAAGCACTAGAAGACAAAATAAAATATGAATAAATATGAAATGTAAATGTTCTGTAAACTAAATAAACTGCATTTGGATCCTTGCCTCAGATTTGAAAGAAGGAAGTCCAGATGTTGTTGCAAGCGTTTCTCAGAAAGACGATAGTCAAGCAAGAACTGCAATAGAATTTGGCTACATTTTTTGCGAATTGGTTCTATTTGAGTTGTTACCATCAATTCTGAAACTTTCGTGACAAGATCATAGATCTCAGGGGCAACCAAATTACGTCCAACAATTGCCCTTAAAAGTGAAAGTGCAAGAAAGGAAGGATTCCTTTCAAGATCCACAAACAGAGGAAACTGGATCAACATATGCAGTTGATCAGTAGAAAGCGTAATTCTGGTGCAGCGCAGAAGCACTGTTAACAATCTTAGACATGACTGCATCAAAGGACTGCTCACAATTCCTGATTTCTGGGCAATATCCAACAGCAAAATTTTAATCTTATCAGCCTGGACTTCAAGGGATGGCAATGGCATTCGTATCAATGGAGTAAGGCACCTAAGAGCAGCAGATAAAATATCTTCATACTTAGAACTCAAGCAATTACCAAGAATCTTCACAAAGGGATCTAACAGTGACAGCAATTTTTCATCTTTACCATCCAACTTCATGTTATTTAGACGATTCCGTAGTACCCCAAGAGCAAAAACTGTAACAAGATATGAAATTTGTGATTCAGAGCCAATAGCACAGCCAGAGGAATCGCTTTCATTAGCTAACTCATTGCTACATTGTTTAGCGGGTTTGCTTATTGTATGACCCTGTGGATCTTCTTCTCTGCTACCATCCTCAATGAGACCATATACAAAGATAAATAGGTCAGTTGAATCTACAGATGGATTGCTCTCGATACCTGCAGCAATATGATTTAACATCGTCTGAAATTTTGCTTTCATTTTTGGTGTAATATGCTTCTGTAAATGAGATTTAACGGGTGAAAGCAGCTTCAGAGCATGTGTTTTAAACATAATGCCTTCAGCAATTAACTCCAAGGTTTCAAAAGACTTGCACTTCCTTGTTTCTTTCATCTTTGATGCAATCTTTTCAACCTCTTTTTGCTCCGCAACATCTCCAAGAATATCATCCTCTGCAATTGAGAGCAGCTCTTCTAAACAATAATCCAGTTTTCCCATGACTGGATTGAAAAGACACTTTGACAATAGGAAATTAAGAGTATATCCCAGTACATGTAGCTCATATCCTCGCTTCAAGGTTGCTCGTAAAACTTTAACTATGAACTGAAAGTATTCTGGGCCAAGTACCTTGCAACAAGCAGCCAAAGCAGATCGGGCTTCATCACGAACACTTACCTTACGATTTTTCAGGAAATTAGATATGTGATGGATGATGCTCGGCAGTTGTGATTCCATGGTGTCCAATGGTAGCAACTTCAATAGCTTTAGTTCCACGAGAGTGATGGTGACATTAACTTCCTCAGATTCAGCATTCAGTATTTCCTTCAATTTGTGTATCTTTGGTAGTATTGTTTTTTGAAGGAACAATTGGACCTCAGTAAGCTCAGAAGAATTAGTACATCTGTGCAAAATGATGGAGGAACCCATTCCAGTAATACCAGGACTTGAATCCTCAGAAGCCTTATCTTTTGGCCCTTGTCTGTAACAAGTTTCAGAGAAATGAAACTGGTCCAGAACAGAAGAAATTAGCCTCAATAGAACCTTTTGTTTGTTAGGCCTCAAGGTCATCTCCTTAAAACATCTGACTAGGAATGCACGGTATGAATCCCATTTCATGTGACCAGAAATACAAGCAAGTGTCTCTAAGCATGCATTTCTAACATGTTCTCCTTTTCCATCTTTCACATCAAAAAGCATACTGAAGAAAAGCGGGACAAATATTTTCTTTATGATGTTCTGCAAGAACGAAACAAGACTTTAGCAGGTATAGAAGGACAAAGACCAATGTATTAAAGGTATAATGGTTACCTCTGGAAAGTCTCCAGTACTAAAGATGTTCCTAAAGCGTGACAACGCCCTTGCTCTCCTGTGTTTCTGTAAGAGTGAAAAGATAAGTGAGGATGGAACATCAAGAGAACCTTGTTCAGGAATTCACTGAAGGACGAGGCAAGAAAAAACCTGTAGGTGAAGAATATTGTTGAAAAAGTCAACTTCTGCATCTTCACTGCAAAGAGACCTAAATGAATTTAAAGCACGCATCTCTGGAAGCTTCAACAAAATTTCTCTGAGCAAAGCAATCCACTCCTGAAATAAATAATCCAAAAATTATGAAATTTCAAGTCACCCATTAACAAGAAAAAGAACTTTTGTGAATTTCATTTGAAGGCCAAAATACAGTGAACTTTCAAGAATGACACCTTTTGAATGGAAACTTCCTTGCACATTGCAGTCCCCATATGCTTTAGAAAGAACTTTTCTATGATACGCTGAACAGACACTTTAGTCCAAGAGATGTCAACATCACCCCTAGCTTCATAAATTTGTTCATCACCTTGGGCTTCACTGCCCAAAATTTGAGCGGCAAACTGGAAGAAGGAGAGCAACAACCTGGATGCACTTTGCCTTAAAATCAATTCTTCAGATGACATATCATATACACAGTGAGATAAGATTATTAATGCATGAGTATCTTTGATAGTCGAGAAGAACTCTGGGCTAATATTTTCATAAGCACTAATTCTAGTATCAAAATCCATTTCACCCATTTCCATTGCAGAGATGGCATTCAGTTCACGGACAAGTCTTGCCTGTATCAAAGCAAGGAATATGAGGATAGTGATACTGAGTTGAAAAGTGGAAGAAAATACTTTTGGTTCAATTCGAAACAAAACAATAATAAGTGGGGGCTTGTTACCAGAAAGACTAAGGAAGGGTTACTCATAGCCAGACAATCAAGAAGATCACATATGGACAACCTTACATCCAGCCCACCAGAAATAAGAAATGGAGAAATGGCCTTTAAAATTTCTCCACTAATATCATTTTCCAATACTGGAACAATGCTTTGAATCACTTGCAAACCTTCCATGCACTCTTCTGCGGTAAAACATAGTAAGTTTGATAAATTTATAGATTAAAAAGAGATCCTTACTAGTAATCTCAGAACTCATTCTTACCTGTTTTCCGAGCTTTTTCTGCTAAGAAGGGAAGTAAAATATCAACAAATTTCCTTGCCAATGAAGGATCTTTTACATATTTTGATAACAGTTTGAATATCACCAGCTCCCGCTTTTCAGGCCACTTGACCAATTTTCTAGTATATCAACAAAGATTAGTCATTAAACAGCAAGCTCAAGCACATAACTAGAGAAGTGGATCCAGTAACAAGAGCAATATACCTACCCCTAATGAGATGGGAACCATTGTGCAGATAAGAATGTAATTTGACTATAATTCAAGAAGTGGCAACTATATTAACAGATTCACATATTCGAGAACAGATTTTCAACAAGGCTAAGTATCTTTTTTTATCAGTAACAGAACTTTTTTATTGATCAGTTAAAGATGAACACACTATAACAGCGAAAGGGGCAAGCCTTGGCTAACCCCTACAAAACTCTCATATTAAAAGATCCTTTAAGGAACCACACCTCAAAACATATGTTGTCTTGTTGCTTCCGGTTTAGCTAGCCCATCTGTAATGCAATCAGGAGATCTGTACACCCAACCAGCCTTGCCTCCCAACCCTTGCAATAGGAACCTAGCCTCCCTCAAGGAGTTTCTATATTTACAGGTTCCTCCTTTTCTGTTTGTAACCAGTTTATTACAACCTTTGAATCCCCTTTGTAGAGAACACTGATGTGGGCCCCACGGCTGTGGTCCCCACTGTGTTCGTATGACAGCACATGTAATCTTTGTTAGTTATATCAGTGTTAGTTGGTAGTTATTTCAGACAGCTTGTTATTTCAGCTTATTATTGTTTTATTTGCCATGTAAGCATTAAGGGCAATTCTGCCTTTTTTCTACAATTAGTGAACATAACATATAAATATTAAGAGTGGGGCGGCAGATTTAATCTATCTGTCCCTCTCCTTTCTAAACCCTTGTGTACTTCTGCTTCTCCTCCTTTTCTCCTTCTTTTCTTCTTCTTCTTTTCTCCATCCGAAACCTTTTTGGATTCAAGACTGACTATAGTCTTGATCGACTATTCTAACGGCAATGTATCTGGGGTGATGCTATTCTCACGGCAGTGTATCTCATTAATTGGGTTCCCTCACGGGTTCTTGACATGAAGCCTCCGTTTACCCTTCTATACCCAGATGAGGAATGATTTACTGTTCCCCTTAAAACCTTTGGTTGCACCTGCTTTGTTCAGATTCTTGGCCCTCATCATTTCAAATTTGACCCTAAGGCCTCCAAATGCATTTTTCTCGGTTATGCACAAACTCAAAAGGGTTATTGCTGCTATGAACCTATTTCCGGGAGAAGATTTGTCCCGATGGATGTCACTTTCTTTGAGGAGGTACCCTATTACCCTAGGGTTTCTCCTCAAGGGGAGAGTAGTGAGAATTTGGGCCTTTTTCCTCAAAGGGAGAGCAGTGAGAGAGGGGTTAACTCATATGAGGTTCCTTTACCCATTCCATTGCGTGATGAGGGCTGTAATGGGGAGGGTTGTTAGAGGTGTCAGGAGTTGAAAGTTTATCACAGGCAATGGAGGCAGGTTGATTTCAGTCATCAGCAATCCAGGCCAGCCCCAGTTCCTTCTGCGGATCAAGATCCAGGTACTACAGTCCCCTTATCAGATCCAGTTCTCACTGAGATACCTTCCACTGTTGCTACTTCCCTTCCTTCGAATGATCTTGACCTCCCCATTGCAGTCCATAAAGGGAAACGGCGTTGCACCACATCCACAGCTCACTACATTTCCCAGTTTCTGTCCTATGATCGCCTGTCTCCCTCTTACAGGTCCTTTCTCACTTCCATTGCTGATATTCCTATCCCCAGAACAATGCAAGAAGCATTGTCAGTTCCTGAGTGGAAAGATGCAATGAAGGTTGAAATGGATGCCCTTTTGAGAAATAATACTTGGGAGCTAGTTGACCAACCCAAAGGAAAGAAACCGATTGGATGTAGATGGGTATTTACTGTGAAACATAATGTTGATGGTTCCATTAAAAGGTATAAAGCCCGATTGGTTGCAAAAGGATTTACTCAGACTTATGGTATAGACTACTTGGAGACTTTTGCCCCAGTAGCAAAGATGACCACTATTTGAGTTCTGTTAGCCCTTGCAGCAAGTTATTCTTGGCCTTTGTTCCAGATGGATGTTAAAAATGCCTTTTTGAATGGAGACTTACAGGAAGAAGTCTACATGCAATTACCCCCTGGATTTTATGATGCAGAGACAGGTAAGAAGGTTTGCTGATTGAATAAAGCATTGTTTGGACTAAAGCAGTCCCCCAAAGCTTGGTTTGATAGATTCATACTAGCCCTTGGAAAATTCGGCTATGTACAGGCCCAGTCAGACCATACATTGTTCGTTAAAAGAGTGAACTCTTCTTTAACCTTGCTTGCTGTATATGTGGATGATATTGTAATGACAGGGAATGATAATAGTGAGATTGAGTCCCTCAAATGACTCCTTCTTCAAGAGTTTGAGGTGAAAGATCTTGGTGCACTACGATACATTTTGGGTATTGAGGTTGCTAGATCTAAACATGGGATCTTTATTTCTCAAATGAAGTATGTTCTAGATTTGTTAGCAGAAACTAGAAAGTTAGGTGTCAAGCCTGCAGATAACCCATTGAACAGAATCACAAGATCAGTGCAGAGGGTGGAGAGCCTCTTGAAGACAAAGCTATGTTCCAACGGTTGGTTGGAAAGCTCCTATATCTCTGCCTCACACGGCCAGACATCAATTATGTAGTCAGTGTTGTCAGCCAGTACATGCATTCCCCTAGAACTACTCATCT